ATTTGAATATTATGATATATATACATAMACATACACAAAGGAATCTCATGAACGAACTCAAGTAAAATATATGTGTATACAAAGGCTTTCCAACGTCAATAAACTCATGAATCAATATTCTTCAAGGTAACAAAAACTGATTATGACGATTTCGACATTTCGTATGTCGAATATATCATAAGATCATGTTACATTAAGTAAATAATTAACATAACAACCACTAACGCTTAATGTTCCAGCCACTAAGGCATAATGTTCCAGCCACTAAGGCATAATATCCAGCCACTAAGGCATATTAGAAAAGTATATATATACACATATGCACGCATAGTATACAAAATGTTCTCGAATGAACTCACATTGCTACTCAATACTCCAAGCTACGAGCAATTTCCAAAATGGTAGAAATGAACCACCACAAGCTTTTAATACCTTCAATTATAACCCTGGAATATACATTTCATATATCATAAGCAATTACTCAAGCAATCCCAAAATATACCCTTTTTAACTTGATAATTCTACTTTTAATTTCTTTGTACAGCAGCAGGTTCATACCCATATTTTCCTATTTTAAACTTAGAATTATCCAATGACTTCTAAAGATGAAATAAAATAGATTCTTATATCTTTCTAATGTCACTAACCACACATTTTTATGATTTTTGTGTGATTTATTACAGATTTTACAAGACAGCAGCAGTAAGCTGTCAAAACTCAGCTTTACAGCTGAGAACGTATCGCACATTTTACCAATCTTAAAGTTGAAATCAGCTTCAGATGTCTAAATACAAAACAAATAGACATTTCCAGCTTTCCAACGAAATTGATATCATACTCATGCGATTTTTCTACAATTTTGTACGAATTTTATAAATAAAAGCTATCAATAAACCTTACTAACTCAAATCAACAATAATCTTGCAATACCATGAACAATTCCTTATAACTCAATTCCAAACTTCATAATAACATTAACTTACAAAATTAATCACTAATCATAAACATGCAAACCCTAATATTCTTAATTAACACTAATTACAAAGATTAAACTTAGCATTAGAAACATACCTTCAAAAATCTTCATATAAACATCAAGAATTCATCTTTTTGAGCTTTGATTCTTCAAKAATTGAATACATTTAGGCTTAAGTGTGTGAAATCGCACCTAGTGTGTGTGGGAGAGTTTTAGAAGTGATTTGGGAAAAAAAGAAACTAATTTTTGTCCATTTAATCACTTAAACCCGAGTTGGGCCGAATTTGGCCCGGTTGAGGCCCATTTGACTACCAAACACTAAAAAAATCATAACTTTTTGCTCGGACCTCCGTTTTCGATGAGGTTTTTTCCCTATGTGATCGTAATAAGATAATCTATAACTTTCAATTAAAAAAATTCAGAAAAGATCTTCCAATAAAAGCAGTTTTTACGTATGTTACATCCGTCCTCCGTCCAACATTATTCCGGTAGGTACCAATTAATCACAAAGATACACAATGTGATACCCATTGTGATATACTGTGATACCATTGTGATACCAACTCAAACCATAAAAACATGTGATACACCTTGATAAAACAAGAAAAAATAATGAAACTGAATATTGTGATACACTATGTTACACTGTGATCATACTCTCAACAAAATCCACAGTAATGGTGCCTAATGCAATGGAGCATCCTTCCTCAATTCAGAAAGATCTTAGGATGAATTGCTACTATTTCTCCAAAATCAACGAACCTTTAAACAAAGAAGGAACCATTAGTCAGGAAGACATAAGTGATCCTGAACCGATTCAGCCAAACATTTATGAATCCTTGGCAATAGGAGACATACCCTTGACAGGGGGAGACATAACACACCTGTTTGATCCTAAAATATTGTCTCTTCTCCGGTACCTAATATTGAAGCTAGTGACTTGGATCGGCGTAATCATCTTCGATGCCGGAGATTGCTTTCATGAAGGAGTTGCAGTCGGCTCAAGCACCTGTTTCTGTCCAGTGGGAATCTGCTGGGTCTGCCAGAATCAATATAGYGCCTCGTGAACTATCTRCCCCTGTGATGAATGGTCCTCTATCTTCTAGTGTTGATGGAATCGGATCCAACATGACAAGTTATGAAAGCAATACCTTGTTCAATCTCCAGCGGGAGTGAGAGGGCGGCGTTACAAATTGTCGGCCGGCTTGATGAAGAAGAAGAAACAGCAATAGAAAAAGAGGGTTAGTCGATGAAAGAAGGAAGAACAAGAGGGTTAGGGTTTTATGATTATAAACATTAATTACCAATTTACCCTTTATGTTATTTTAGGATATAACATTAATTATTTAAATGATTGGCTCACATTGGTTCTCAGAGTTACCACAAACTAATCAGTTCTCATTTGATTAGGCCTATATATATATATATATATATATATATTTGTGGTTATCTCTTTCTTAATCATCTTGATGTCAAAATACGCATATCGTCTACTTTCATTCTCTTTCAATTGAATGCACCATTTAATTGGAGACTTTAACACAATAACAAAATTGTAACTCCATCATAATTGATTGACATCAAAGAGATTATTAAGATTGATCATGGCTTCATCAAGTAAGACAATTTCAAGTGTTCCTACAAGTAAGTTTACTATTCGTCTTCTAGATTAAAGTCATGGATATTTTTCATGATAATGATAATTCGATACTGTTACTCTTTATTATTTGATTTTACAAACAACCAAATGAAACTGAAGTTCCAGTTTACCAAATCCTATCTAAACAGGGTCTTTATAGTCTTCATTCAATTTTCCACCGTAAAATTACTAAGGCCCCGTTTACTAACCTTTTAACACCTCTTACCCGTTAAGAGATGCTTATCCAGATAAGAGGTAAAAGTGTTTACCTAACAACAAAATCAGCAATAAGCCTTATTACCTCTGACCGTCCTCTTACCGGGGGTCAGAGAAAATTTTGAATCTTACCATGGTAAGAGGTATGTAGCCTCTCCAATTCAAAACTCTAATCTTCTTCAAACAAACAGGGCGCTTCTTCAAACAAACAAGGCGCTGCTTGCTTCAAGTATGGATCGTTTCTCATATCTTTCTTTTCGATTTCTTCTTCTATTTCTTGATGTCTGATATCATAAATTTGGTAATCGATTTCCTGATTCTTCTTTAGTTCCTTGATTGTTGTTGCTGCAAGTTTACTCATCTATTTGTTCAAGTTTACATGGCTGTTTGGTATTATTCTCCTTAATAGATCCATTATATCAATGATCTGGGTTTGTTTTTTCTTCTTCTCTTTTCCCTTTCTTTAATATGTACTGTTTGCATTTCATAACATCAAGTGGGTGTTCTTTGTTATCTGGATTTTATACAATCTCATTTGGTCATTTCTCAGTTTTTTTTGGGGTTTACAATCTTCAATCTTGATTGGAATGCTAAAACCCCTGTTCTTGTATGTTTTTATTTCATCTTTTCAAGTTTTTATTGATGGGTTTGCATCAAGACTAATCTTTAATCCCTTTTTACTATTCGACACATGCATCAAACTTTTTGAGCAAATCCACAAGATGGTGGGATTTTTATATATCACCTGTATAGTTTTGGATACTTGTTTGTATTGATATATGTTTGGAAGGTGTTATATGCTAATTCTTGGATGAATCAAACATGTTGGTTTCTAGTCTTGCATATGTTGCTTATTTAGCCTGGATAAAATTGGTATCAGATCATCTGCTGCTTCCATGATTGATTAAAATAGTTTGCAGCAGGGTTTTAATCAGTTTTAGAGGTGCAAATCTATGTGGTTTATTTTTTACAATGGCCATAGCACATTTTACTGTAAAAATTTTGAGGTTGATATGGTGCCTTTTATGGTTTGGCTTGCTATAAAGGTGACATAAGATAGAGTTTTACTAGAATTCAAGTTCAATGATTTTAGTTTGAAATAGGTGGGATCTGTCAGATTCAAATTTTGGGGTTGAGGTGCATTATGCCTGCATCATGCATCAGGTCATCTACTTGAACTTAGAACAAACACATTACACAAAAGGCATTATCCCAACTTTACCAAATAAATTTTTTTGAAGGACTAGAGCAGTATGTTAAGCATACTTTATTATCCTTGGTTCCAAGTATATTCAATGCACTCCATGATCTCTGGTTTCGAGGCATTGGAGTTTTGTCATAATGTTGAAAAATGTCAATGCCATAATCATGAGAATTGGAGTTTGTAAATGAACAAATTAAAAAAAGATGAGATTTATAAATCACCCATTGATCTCGGTGGTTTTTTTTATTGTATTTAGGTACAAATGACATGTAGGATAATCACAAATAAATTGAAGATATAATGAATGGTATATATCTGTGTAGCATCTGTAGCTTGGGTGGAAGATTATTCTAAGGATAATCACAAATAAATGGAAAATATAATTAAGGATAATCACAAATAAATGGGACATCATTCTAAGGATTCTTTATCGGGTTGAGTTGAGTGTAAAAAATAGTAACCCAATATCAACGCAGTACCTACGGTTTGAAAATTTTACAACTCAATTAGACATAGGGTTGAGTTATTTCATGTTGGGTTGGATTGGGTTGATCAAGTTGGTCGGGTTGGTAAACAATAATTTTGAATCATCACTTACTCCAGAAAGAGGGATATAATAGTCATTTTTACTCAATCAACACTTAATACAAAATATTTGGTAAACAAGAAAATCTAATCTATACTTACTTCAATCAAACCTTTTATCATAGTAAGACCTATTACCCGAGTCGACATTTAACAAAAAAAAATTGGTAAAGGGCGCTAAATGTCATCTGCCGGATATCACTGCTTCGGCACATGCATGACATCACCCTCATGAACTTCAACTTGAACCATCACGTGAAACTAAAGTGCACCAATGTACCAGCCAAGTGGGAATTTAATATATTAAACAAAAACACACCAGTGAGGTTTTAAGAAGACCAAGAAAGTTGACTTCATTCATCCATCATCACCGTCAAAAAATGGGAAGAAACCTTACCACCATATGCAAATGGAGTTTTCAAAACAGTACTAGAAGGGCAGCTCACACAGAAGCCGAATCAAGAGCTATTGCATCTTTGCTGGAGGAGAAGCTGAATGCTGAGCTTCCACAAACCAACAATGGCGCTTCCATCTACAGGGTTCCACACCGCTTACGTTCAGTCGAGCCTAAAGCTTATGAACCCAGTATTGTTTCTATTGGTCCTTACCATCACGGAGCTGCACATTTACAAGCAATGGAGAACACCAAATTGATCTTCTTTCATCGCCTCTTCAATCCAAACCAACCCAATCAACCTAACCTGAGAGCACTAGTCAGTGAACTGAAAGAGATGGAACACAAGGCTCGAGGCTGTTACTCGGAAGATTTGAAGCTTAGCAGCAAGCAGTTCATAGATATGTTGCTCATCGACAGCTGTTTCGTCATACAGCTTCTAAGGGAAACGAGGGAAGTTGATTACAGTAATAAGTCGATACTCATAAAGAGATGGATGTTACCCGTCCTCCAACGCGATCTGATCATGCTTGAGAATCAGCTCCCTTTGTTCGTGTTGAACAAACTCTACGACTTAACCACTACTTGTAGAGCCACCAAAGACTTGGGTTTGAAAGATCTTATGCTTCAATTCTTCGAACCGATGATATACAAAGATTTGGGTACCCCGAGAAACAGCGCTTTGAGAGAAGGAGATGGGCGAAACCACTTTCTTGAGCTCTTTCGGGCCAGCATTTGTCCAACAGAAGTTTTAGAAAAAGAGATCTGTGGTAAGGAGCCACACATGTTTCGCTCCATAACCGAGCTGAGGAAGTCGGGTATCAAACTCAAGAAGGCAGAAAAATGTCAACCATTAGATGTAAGCTTTGAAATTAGAAGGGGAGTTCTGAAGATCGCTCCATTGAGCATGGATGACCACAAGTTCACACTCTTTCGAAACATGGTGGCCTTCGAGCAGTGCCACTTTGCCTGCAAACCTCATGTAACAGCTTACATATTCTTTCTCGATAGGCTGATCAACTCCGCAGAAGATATAGAATTGCTTCATCATTCGGGCATTATGCAGCATTCTTTGGGTGGAAACAAACATGCAGCAAGACTAGTAAACATGCTATGTAAAGAAGTAGCTGGGGCAGTTGATGATTCGTATTTACACAACGTTCTTTGGAAGATTAATTGCTACTGCAATAATGGTTGGCATCAGAAGAAAGCCAAACTGAAACATGACTACTTTTACAATATATGGGTATCATTCTCGACTATAGCAGCTATTGTTCTAGTTTACCTTACCATACTTCAAACAATCTGGGGGCTCGGCGATGAAGATGCTCGAGATCACATGTTTGGAAACGGCTTTTGGAGATCCTTCGGGGAAGCTTTTCTCATACCATTTAGAGGTGTTGGGCCATCTAAGAAGTCATCCCTGCAAATTCAGATTGATGAAGAGCAAGCCATAGATGAAAAAGGTAATCAGATAGACGAATACCTTCAATGGTTCTTCCACTCCAACATAAGCGATGACATTAAGCCATTCTTTTTCATGAGTTGTTGAAGTTCATTATGGTGTCACATATATATTTATTTGCTGGTTCTATTTCAAGTAAAATGTAATTCCATGAATCTCCTGTTATTGCAAAGAAAGTAAAACCTCATATGTTGCAATATGTTTCTGCTGATCCTTGGTATATATCAGGCGTCTATCCTGCTAAAAACCCAGACATAAACCACACCTATGGATCCTAAGTGTACCTAGTGCATAAAACAGTGTGAGACTTTTGAAGCCCAATTTTACATGTGTTTAGGGGTGTCTTATCGACCTATATATAGCCGAAATTGTTTAGGTTCAAATTATTAATAGTTTAGTTTTAGTTTCAAATTGTTAATCGTTTAGATTTACCTCATTTTTATGCTTAACATATATCTCCGTTATCTCATTTATGTAATATAATCAAAGAATTTGGATGTAACAGTAACTCCAAAAAAAAATTGGAACATGGACCTTCTCTAGAATCCAAAGTTAACAAAAGATCATACACATGGCGTTAGTGTAAATCTAAATCCACAACCTCCAGGCTGATCAAACACCCCAATATTAGATACCATTTAAATGCTAAGTACATCCCTCGCTGATCCGTCGCTAAGTACATCCCTCGCTGATCCGTCGCTGAAAGTGTCCGTCGCAAATCCGTCGCTGATTTCTGTCGCTGATTCGTCGCTGATAGCATTACCTACGACTGTTTGACCGACGGAGTATCAGCGACGGATCAGCGACGGACTACCCTTTCAGCGACGGATCAGCGAGGGAAATTTCCCTCGCTGATACCCAGCATTTTTGTAGTGATTTGCTGATTCAAAAGAAAAGTAAGGTTAAGAGAATTGTTTTTGAGGAATTTGGATTTGGAGGGGTTTGAATTTGAATGAATTTGAAATTGGATTCCATTATTTATAAAAATAATTAAATTACATTTTTATAAATCAATTATTATAAAACAAATGTTATTTAACATTTTAAAAACCTTATTCCATACAATCCTATGAGATCCCGTAAAATCCCGAGCATTCAATAAGGGTTTTAAAATCCTATGTTTGTAAGATTTCAAATCCAAACAATATAGTAAACTAAGAGGCCGTTTACCTAAATGTTTACCAATGTAATTTGTTTTACCGCGTAAGATTGTAGTACATCAAAATGATATCGTATGCAACAATTTATCCGGTAAGCGCTTACCCGGGTAAGAGTCGTCACATTCACTTACCGAGTAAGGCTCTTCATTTTTTTCATTGCTCTTACCAGGTAAGATTTTTGACCCATATCATGTTGATCCGATAAGAAAAATTACCCGATAAACACTTATTAGATAAACGTTTACTAAACTGACCCTAATATAGAATTAGATTTGAAATCTGAATCCCCCAATTCTCCATTCGTAAACTAAATGGTTAGGTGGCATTGGTTTATTTGGTGAATTAGTTTAAATTATAAAGTCGTTGTAAAATATTAAAAAATTTGCAACCCACCGAATAAATCTTAGTTATAGATTCTCAACCACATTTTGGAAGCGAGTGATTAATTAATACCGGGAGAAAAGGGGCCTTCAACTCCTAGTTCGCTAAAGTCAGCTAAAACTTTTGCAATTTTCATATATGACATTATCAGACTAAAACTCTATATATATATATATATATATATATATATATATATATATATATATATATATATAAAAGAGTAGTTAAACACCTTCATTAAACAACCCTAATGCAAGTTGTTACTTCAAAATGTCTCAAGAAGTTGCATTTAATATAATAATAACTAGTTGTGTACCCGTGCGATGCGGCGGGAGCCGTGAATTTTAACGATTTTGAAGTTTTACTGGTTTTATTACAGAAGATTTAACGTTGATATAAGTTATACTTGGTCTTTACATATTAATACAATTTGAATAAATAAAAGTTGTGATTCCAATTACAGTCTATCAATGAAAAAAATTGTATGACAATTTAAAATCCAATATATTTAAAATCCAACATATGTAAACAACTCCACAACGTGTTCGATTTACACCAAGAGCAAACACATATGGTTGGAGCAAACGCCGTACCACGTAACTAAGGGGCCGTTTACCTAAACATAATCTTTTATATTAAATCTAAACTGTAAACTCARCAAATGATAATTTCTTGAAACCAAAAAAAGACAGCATCATCCCTAGAAATGAAAATGAAAATGGAAAATTATAAAGGCAATTCCTACATTATATTGATGATAATCCACTATGTCTCCAAATATCTCCACCCTCATTCTAAAAAAATTCATCAAAGCATGCAAAATTGAACTGCTTTGAACTTTCTTTTTGAATAATTCAAAATCAAACATGTTTTCATTCATGATCTGCGCCACCAGCTGCCGCATTCAGAGCATTCAACCTCTCAATAAGCTTCTGCTTCCTCTTATCATATGTTAGCTTCTTCAGGTTGAACCTAAACCCACAAAAACAACATCAACACACATAATCATCTCTCTGTTTTTATAAACATAATATTCTGCAAAATTATCTTTTTACCATCAAAAGGACAGATTTTAAAAAATGAGGTTACCCCTTGTGCTCCTTTGGAGGCTGTATCTCCAACTTCTTTGGGGTTGGATCAACACGAATGGCTGAATGCACCATCTTGTATAGCTCTTCATTGTTTTCCGGGTCAACTCCAGCTTTAATGTATTTAGAGAAGTCAGACTGATACTTTTCCGGCTCTAGGGATGGTGATTTACCCCGACTCGGTGGGGAACCCGGTTCACCCGACCCGAACGGGGACGAGGATTCCCCACTAAAACGAGTCTCGAGGCCGGAGATCCCCGATAGACACAAACCGGGGACGGGGCCGGGGCAGGGGATCCCCGGTAGAATCAATACAAAGGATACTATTTACGGGGTTTGACCGGGGTTTGATTGGGGATTGCTAGAGATTTACCGGGGACGGGATAATAATCCCCGTACCTGCCAGGGCCGGGGATTACAAAACCCGCCCCATCCCCGCCCCCATTTCCATGCCTATCCGGCTCATCTTCCATCAAAATCTGCATATAAAACAACTATTTTCAAATGATATGTTCTATTTTTAAAGATGCACTACATCTCTTGTCAAACAACAGACTCACCCTCATGTAGGAAGCAACATGCCTGCCGTAAATGTACTTGCGGTGGACATGTTACTTAGAAAAACACAAAGAAAACATCAAAACAAGCAGTAGTTTGGGACTGTTTTGATACAAACCAGCAGTAGTTTGCAACTGTTTCTACAACAAAACAAATTGTAGAAAATATTAGTTTGGGATTGTTTCTACAGCAAAACAAATTGTAGAAAATGTTAGACTGCATATGTATGATAGGCGTGTTTGATTAGCTGTTGCTTCATAGACTATAGACATTGGCCAAATTAGCCAAACCAAACGGACCCTAACTTACTCTCAAGAGAAAGACTAATCCTTTATAAAGAAAAAAAAACATACTAGGAACAAAGTTATGAGTGAGTGAAGTACATATAATGGGCCTACATAACTTTCAACTAACCGGTTTACATAAATACATATGATAAATACAGATTACCAGGTTGAGTGCACCAAATGACATAAATTAGTACATACATTACTATTAAAGACCTAAATTATTGGGATACATAATCACACAAGCACAATCTAAATGACAACATGGAAAAGAAAAATAGAACAAAGTACTGCGCGGTTCAACAAGAAGCAGAGTCCACCAATTCAGTTTATGGGAAAGAAAATAAGGAGAACAACCCCTAAATATTGGATTAAGCATTAGCAATTCAGAAGAGGACTCTTTCTCATCTTCTAAAAATGTTTGAATAAGGGGGGGGGGGGGAGGTGCTGGAGTATTTTTGGTTAAACATATACTTCACATTACCTCTCGACTCAAAATGAAATGAAATCAATTGAATCACACTTATCAATAAAATTAAAAAGCAGACATGTTTCGTGATGGTGTTTGTGAGGGAGTGGGATTCATCCGAAACTCAAGAACTGACCCAACATATACAAATCAAATACTCAAAATTTGTCAAGCTTAAACACCAATGAAATCGACCAGCAGAGACAAACTAAGAAATTGATTTTTCAGGTAAAAAAAAACACAATCCAACTGTTGAAGGAATATAACAAACAATGGCATCATAAAAACACCAAACTGAATTAAGGAAGGGTAAAGGTGTCGATGGGTACCTCATCTTGCCAATCTCCACCCTAACAATGTAAGTTGGCTACCGATGTTAACAAATCAGTGTACGCAGGAGAAATTGGCGATTCCATCAAAAACTTAATAGAAACACAAGAATGGATTCTGTTAATTTTGATTTCAAGAAAAAAAAATCAATAAAATAAAGAATCAATAACAATAAAAGTTACAAGTCATACCAGGAGCGACGAATCGAGAGATGCAGATCGAGGGCAAGAGTGAGAGCCAGTGTTCAACTTACCCTGTTGTAATAGCACCAAACCCATTGAATATTTCAAATCACAACAACTTACAGAAAATAAACAAAAATATTAGAAACATCTTACCCGGAGAAAGCCAACGATTGAGAAAATGGTAAGATTGGTGTTCGATTTACACCAAACCGTTGTATTGCTTCAAGCCCTAAAACCCAAAACAAAGGGAAAAAATTAAAAAATTTTAACCCAAATTGTATTGCTTCAAACCCTAAAAAACAAAGCAACCATGAATAAAATCAAGAAGCAATAGCCAAAAATTTACAGCTCGTATTATAGAATCGTACCAGGAGCGAGAGCGAGAGATGTAAAGCGGGAGAAAGACCGAGAGATGCAAAGCGAGAGCGAGAGATCCAGAGCGATTGAGAGAGAACTTTGAATCGTCACCTTGAGAAATGGGAGAAACAGAAACGAAATCATGATGAGCGATGGTCGATAGAGAAAGGAGCGTGAAGTCTAAATGAAGCAAAGGGGAGCGTGTCTTGGGAAGATATATTTTGAGAGTAGCGTGCATAAAGAAGTTGTCCTTTGTGCTAGTAGTATTTGTGATAACCGGGTTCTGATTATTATTCAGGGTATTTATTATGTGAATTAATTGACTATATGGATGCATGCTTATATGGATTAAATATGTGAGTATGTATGTTTTTATGCATGGGGATATATGTGCATAATATGTAAGTGTATATATATATATATATATATATATAAATGATATATATATATATATACATATATGTGTAATATTATGAAAAGTGTATATGTGCCTTTATGCATGGTTGATTCGGATGCATGTGGGGGTGGGAGGGGGAAGACCGACTTTCCAATTGAGGAAAGTATAAATATGAAGTTTTGGTGAGGAGGAAATCTTCTTGCCTCATTTGGGAGTTGAGAGAATTAGAGAGAAGAATTAACTAGAGATCAAGTTTGGAATCATTTTGGTTTCATCTTCTTCAAAATCTGAGTTTTTGCATAAAGGTGAGTGATTTCTAAAAATACTCTTTTAAAAGCTTTGATTATTACTATAGAAAGAACTGTGTATTATTCTAAAAAAACTGGTTTTGTGCGATTTGGGTTTATTCGGATAAGGGGTGACCGGACAAAGTATAAATCGGGCAAGGCTTGTCCGGATTACTCTTAAACCGGATAGGAGTTATCCGATTTATCTTTAAATCTTTTAAGTGTTGTGCGATTTAGGGGAGTGGGTGAGAAATTGAACTATGTAAACCGGATAAAGGTTTTTGAACGGAGAAGTATGAATACGACCATGCATTGTGCGGTTTAGTCATAAATCGCTCAAGGGTTATGCGGRCTAGTTATAAATCGGACAAATGTGTTGTCCGGATTGCCTTAAACCGGACATGAGTCATGCGGTTTAGTTTTAAATCGATTAAGGTTATGCGATTTAGTCTTRAATCRACCATGTGTTGTCCRGATTAGTAAATCRGACAAATGGSACAAGTGTTGTCCGGATTGTATATCCGGATAACTTGTTCGGGTGGCTTGTATTTGATAATTTTTGAAGTGTTAAATATTTTAGACATTTATATAATTTAAGAATGTCTATTTATGGGTTTAAATATGGATTTATAAAAAAAGGATATTTTATATAGTTTAAAATAAAAGATATGTTCCAACCAAGCGTGGTGACGTATGCCTGTTTTGGTCTGGAACAAGATTTTTGGGAAATGTTTCTACCAAGCGTGTTGACGTAATTCTGTTTTGGTATGAAACTACATTTTTGGGAAACCTTCCTACCAAGTGTGGTGACGTAAGTATGTTTTGATATGGAATTGGATTTTGTAAACTGTTTCTACTAAGCGTGGTGATGTAAGTCTGTTTTGGTACGAAACTTATTTTAAGAGATAGTTCCCCCAGACGTGGTGACTTTTGTCTGTTCTGGCTTGGACCTGGGAATGGGTACTTTCAGACGTGGTGACTTTCGTCTGTTCTGATAAGTAGCCCTGTTTTGATGGAGGAATAAGGGTGACATATGAAGGAGAGGTGTATTTGGAATAAGGGAGGCATTGTCATATGTGGATAGTATTATAACTCTTATTATTATTATTAATCGGATTTAATAACTTTGAGTCATCATTTCTTTGTGACTTGATGAATTAGAGATATTATTCCTATTAGAAATAATAATTTAGATGTTATTGAGAAGAGGAAAATGACTTGTCATTAAGGGCAAGTATTGCCTTAAATCTTTCCGTTAATATTTACAAAGGAATGGTTTGATGATTCAAAGAAACTTTGGTTACAATATTTGTTTCATATTGAGAACGTTGGATCTTTAAGCAGATGTATTTTATAATAGAACTGAGGTTCTTGAGTTTATCCTTTTATACCTGTCATTGAGGACTGCATTATTCGATTATATTGCAATATTCCTGAGCAAAGATGTTTTATTATATTTTGGTGTTTATCATCCTGCTTTTGCAAAGAAGGGATTTACTCACCAGACCCTTCTGGTCTAACCCTCATTTTCTGTTTTAAAAATATGCAATGCAGGAACGGCTGGGGCCAGGGATAATAAGGAGAAAAAGAAAATGTGATTATTTTTCCTAATTCTGATATCTGCTTTTGAAGATCTACTTGATATTGCTTATTTTTGAAGATACATGTTATATTACATGTGATAGTACATGATTTGTTTTGAAAATTTTCATATGTAGATTTTGTACATATAAGAATCCTTGTACTAGTGGGACCTTGTGATGTAAACTATATTTCCATGTAATGAAATATGTGTTATATGTAAATGCGGTGTTTGGGGGTGTTACAGAAGTGGTATCAGAGCCTTAGTTTAAGAGATTTAGGTATTCAAAGCATGATKCCTAGACTTAAACTGTCATTTGCATGTTAAGAGTCCCGAACATAATTAGTATCACAGAGAATAAAATATAATGGGTCAAAGAGGGCAGTATATAAGGTGAATTCGAATTACAAATGGCCAATGTAATTATGAATTTATAGGTACATACCTATACTCGGATACCATATTATATTTGGGAATATGAATACGTGATATTTAATACTAAAATATCTGCAGATGTCTACTCGATCGTGAAGATCAGAAAGAATTGCCCACCCTGAATATGAAGAAAGGGAGGAATCTCCCGTTAATCCACCAACCTATGCTTCAAAGAGTAGAGGTCGTGGAAGGGGTGGGGGTAGAGGTCGAGGAAGGAGTCAGATTCCTGAGAGGAGTCAGGCCAAGATTCGCCCTGATCAAGGGGAATCTATTTCTGGGAATGCTCATCAAGAACAGAGGCAACAACCTGAGTTTATAACCAGAGATATTTTAGCAGAAGAAATAGGGAAACTGAGAGAAACCTTGATATCCATTATGAGACTGCCAGCTAGAGTAGAAACCGAGTGAGTTGGAATTAATCCTCCAGCTCCTTCAGCAGGCAGTAATAATCAGGGAGGGGATATAAAGATGTTTCTTACATGTAAACCTCCGACCTTTTCAGGAGAAAGAGATCCAGTAAAATCAATGTGCTGGATAAAAGAAATTGAATCAGTATTCAATACTAGTAGATGTTTTAAGAAGATAAGGTTAGATTTGCAGTATCTATGCTCAAATCTAATGCCTTATATTGGTGGGATGTGGAGTCCTCGGCACAACCAAATATACTGCAAACCATGTCTTGGGAAGAATTTGAGAATAAATTCAAAACACAATTCTATCCTAC